TGTAATTTCACAGATAATGACTTAAGAAAAATCTTCTGTATTTATACCTCATTTCATTGGTTTAACAGTGAAAATATCTTTAATTAGACATTAAAAATGTCAAATTAAAGCTAATTATAGAAAATTACTATTTTACTGTATTTTTACAAGTCAGTTGTATTTTTTGGCTCCCCAGTTGATTAGATTAGTTTTACAGTATTAAAAGTTGCAGGTAATGAATAATTACTCAGTTGCAACTCACTTAAAAAGGTTTTGTGATTTCAAAAATCAAATTCATTTATTTAACACTGAGAAATTTACTTTATAAACCTCCACTGCTCATTTTTAAATGTACGACAAGTGAAGACTGTTTCCTTAATAAAAGCCCCGGGGCTTTTAATTGAAGTTTTACATATACAATCTGAGATAGTCGAGTTCTTCGACGTCCACCGTGGTTCACTGTGCGTCCAGTTTTGAGGCTTCAGGCCCGGCCTCCGTGTGGCCATCGGCGGCCTCCTTACTCTTGGCTGTGTTCTCGTTCTGAGCCCGGTTCTGTTTCTCCCTCTCCAGCGCTTTCTCCATCTCGGTGTAGTAATCGAGAGCCTTCCGCACCGGGTTGATAATGTGTTGCTGTGAGTGAAGAATTAATTAGAGTCCAACCCGAGAGAGAGAGCTCACGTCCCTTCAACCTCCACGGATGTAGTGAGTGATTCCCTACGTTTCACAGACTATAAATCTCGTACAGTTTGTACATTTGCTGGATGTTTGTGAATCTTTCTGCCATTTTGCTTCTATAACATGTCTTCTTTACACATCTAGAGGAAAGAAAACCCCCAAAATACCCATTTAGCTGTTTATTTTACTACTTTTCGTCTGTTTAGTTAGTATTACATAATGGCTAATTTGCATATTTAAACATGAAAGTTCAGAAAAGTTGTAATACAAAAAAATATTGTCTTAATGTGAATAATATTTTTTTTTACCCTATTGACCTGTAGTGAATTTTCCAAAAGGCAGTTTTCTCAAAAAAAGCCAGAATCTCCACTTCAGCATCGTTTACACCAAACCTTCCAGCTTTATTCCTCTCTATCTTCTGAAGTATGTACAGAGGGGTTTGTTCATGTATCATTCACAACCTGATTTAAATCACATTTTATTCCTTAAAAACATGATGAAAATGACATTAAAATAACTTACCTCCAAGCAGGGAAAGAGGTTGGCCAGCTCGATGAAGAGAGGCAGGAGGACAAATCTGATGAAGCCTGTTTGAGATGACGGTTTGGTTACTTTGTCCCGGTCCATGAAGGGGGTGACCGGGAGGCCCTCCAGCTTCTCCACGTCGCTCTGAGGGCAGGCAGACGACACGAAGGTCAGAACGTTTGAAAGGAAAAACTGGGAAAGTTATTAAAAATGTCTGTCAGTCACCTGGTTGTAGAATTCCTGCAGGAGACAGTCCAACCAGGGTTCGGCCACCTCCATGGGTCGCGCCTCGTTGGATATATCGCTCACTTTTATCAGAATCATCATCAGCTGCATAACACACAGGAAAAACTCAAATTATGAGATTATTATGGGAGAAAAAGTCCAAATACAAAGAGAGGACACTTGTCACTCATGTTTTCGTATATTTAAATTCTTCTGCTCGTCTTATAAGGACTACTGACATCCCTTTTTTGACGTTTTTTTCTTACAGGAAATACGTAAATATGAGGAAGCAAATAGCTTCAAAACATTACAACCTAAACTGCTCCAGGCTCAGTATTCGCTGTATTAATTTAAATGTTTTAATAGTATATTTATTGTACAGTACCTCCCACTGTGTGTGAGTCAAACACTGCTCTTACCACGTCTCTGTGGTCCTTGTTGGTGAAGTCAAAGGCCGGCAGGATGGACTTGAACTTGTTGAGGATCTCGTTGTGTCTCGTCATGTCAGTGGCCAGAATGCATCTCAGATTAAAACAGATATACATTTAAAAAACAGCTAAATAACACCACATAACGTCAGAGCTGAGAGAAGAGTTAGATCTTACTTGATGATCCCTTCTCGTATCCGTTTGTACTGATCCATGGACAGATTCCTGAAGATGTTGCTCTCTGTCTACAGAACAGAAAATGGTCGGTTCGTGCCGATTGACCCCCGTTTAAATAAATAAAAACCCTCATCAGAAATCATATTTTACCTTCTCCAGTATCTCAAAGGCCACGGCGCAGTGGTGGTTCTCCAGTGGAGAGATGTCGTTGTAGCGGAGAGCGAGTTCAGTCCGAGCATTGATCTGAAAGAAGGAGTTTAATACAGATGATTGTGAAGCAGTTCTGTATCCCACTTTATCATTTTTACCCCTTTTATACCACATATGATCGGCTCCTGCAGGACGTTTCTAATATCTGTTGTTTGGTTTTATGGTTGTGCAGGAAGCAGGGAGGCACGTGCATCAAGTGGTAATAACTGTGAAACTTCCTGTTTTGCTTCTGTAGAAGTTGGGAAGGTTGTCTGTAGACCCAATCAGGTGAGAGCATTACTCTGACTACCTACTACTATCACTACCTCTCACATTGTCCCATACAAACATAGTCTTTGTCCCACATTTGGTTTGTTGGGATCTGGTCACCCAAGCTTGTAGCCTCGAGGGACAAAACGGAATAAAAACTTCAATGTTATGTTTATAGAAAACTTCAGATGAGATTAATATCATTAAATAATAGGTTAAATACAACAGACTATAAATACTATGAGTGTTTATCATCAGCTGTATATAAGGTAAACAGGTATTAGTGAAGTGGTTCCCCCACTAGGGGTCACCAAAACTTCATGAGGGGTCGCAAGGCCTTACTGATTTAAAGGCTAGTAAACTTTAAAAAAGCATGCTTGTCTAATAGAACAATGGACAAAAACACTGAATTTGTCAAGAAATAAGCCTATTAAGTCTGTATGATTGTTAAAAACTATAAAAAATACATAATACTGACAGAAAATTGGATAAAAAGTTCCTTAAACAGCAAATAATCTGCTCAAAATTCATCCAAATCTCTTGTTTTACACAAACTTCCTGCAGTTCCTGAGTTCACTGTTTGGGTTCATTCTACAGTTTAATATGAAATATACATAAAATATGTCACTGAGTCAGTTTAATAAATGATAGAAAAGGCGTCTCCATGTAAAGAACTTCATCTACCTGGTAGGCGTTGTTGTATCCCATGTGGTCGAGGTCGTGGCAGACGGCGGAGGTCAACATGATCAGCAGGTCGACGCTGTCCATCTTACTCCTCAGGTCGGTCAGCCAGATCAACCCGTACATCTGCTCCAAGGTAAAGAGACAGGGGACACTGTTAGGCTGTTTACTGCCCCTCTACAGTAGCTTCACTGTACATGTATTTTACACTAAGTTTCACAAGATATTACGCTATAATTAAGTAATTAATTCTAAATATACAGTAAAATACATGAAAACCTCTTGAAAATACCCACAATGCAATCCAGTAGTATAGTAATGAAGCTTAAAATAAAATTAGGGTATTTTATTGGGCATTTTGTAGGTAAATAACTGTAGAAATTAAAGCAAAATCTAGAGATTAAAGCTGCATTAATTAATTAATTGATGTTTTTGTCCACCGGGGGCAGTGGAACTGAACATAAACACATCATTAACATATTATCACCTTATAAAGTTGTTGGCTGACATCCTGAGGGATTTTAGCTCTGTTTTTTTTGTCTCCACAAACTCTCTTTAGCTCCTCAATCAACTGAATCAACTTTAAATCTCTTCTGTTTGTCCATCAGTGTCCAAGATACCAGATCTCCTGATCCAGGATGGACCTCGCAGACCTCTCAGGTCGGCTGGTTCTGGATTCTGGAGTCAAAACCAGCTCAAGTTTGATGGTTTCTTTTTTTAATTCTGTGTATTTTTAGTCTCTTAATAATATGTTAGCAAGTGGAAATCAGCTCATCCAGCTGGTTGGGGTCCTCTCGACCCTCAGAGCCAGATGTCACTAATTAGCCATCAAGGTTGCGGCGTAAATCCACAATCTCACGATTACAGAAACAGTTAGGCTCTCCCTGATTTGCCCTGATGAAATACCACTTTAAAACACTCTCTCTCTCTCTCACACTAACACACACACACACTCACCATCTGGGTGACACAGAAGCAGTGTTTGAAGTTGTGGAAAGGGATGTTGTTGTATCGTCGGTAGACCTCGAACAGGAACTGTTGCAGGACTTCAGGCTCGATGTTGAACATCGCTATGAAATCTAAATCTGTGTACATGACCTGCAGGAGCACCATGATCTCTGCGTCCTCCCACTGCCTGCACACACACACACACACACACACACATTACACTGTGTATTAATACGCTGCTGAAAATAGTCCCCAAGCTTGATACTCAAGCTTTTTATGTAAATTACTGAGTCTTTTTAAAAAAGATCAGTTTTCTCAAATGGGGATAAGTGACCCCCTAGTGGTGCTTTGTAGTACTGCAAGAAGTACAGGAAGGAAGAAGTTACATTTAAAAAAAATGTAAATGTAAATGTTTGATAAACCACATTTTATATTCATTTATATTTTTCAAAGATCCTCATCATTTATTTCCACAGTAACTAGTAGTGTAACTAATACTAATACATTTCAGTTACTCCCCCCGAAACTAATAAGTTACTTATTATTATTATAATAATTAATTATTATTATTATTACCAATCACATCCTTGGATTCATTTTTATAATCATGGAGGAAACTAGTTTGGAAGACGGAAAAAAGCCCAAATTGTACATTAAATTCGAAATTGCCACTATGAGTAGGGCTGAACGTTGGTGTTCGGGGCGGGAAGTCTGATGCAGATTGGACACCGGAGTTATGACAACTTCCTGTTTTCATGGCAAAACATTGAAATCCAGCAACAAAAACAACGTTTGCAAATCACCAGTGAAATGACGTCTGTGAGACCTCATATGACACAAAAGACCAATTTTGTGCAGCGCTTCGTGAGTTTTGGAGCATGTTGTTGACCTCAATGAGCTTTAATAAAGGCCATAATATGAGCAGGAGCATTAACACGTAGTGAGAGTCTATTTGGTTTTGTTTTAAATGGATATTGCAGCTGGAATTATCTCTTTTTAGTAGCTGAAAGAAGAGGTGAAAAAGGTCCTTATCGATTTCGGTTTAACTGTGCATTCGTGAGATACGTTTCAAAGCTTTATGTCCTCAGCGTGAACCTGTTTGAGCGCCAGAAACAACAAAGCGAGGTCAGAAAGTGTTGAAAAAACAGACTTAATGGGATTTTGAGAGCAACAAAAATGTAGAATAAAAAACTTTTTATCTGTTAAACACAACAGGAAGCAAAAGAAAAGCACATTTTTCATCAGCATTTTCAAAGGAATCCTGTTATTTAATGTCATTAAATGATCCCCGAAGCTTCACTTTCACATTCTGCCCGCACACACGCGTCCATCCACCTTCGTCACTAAAAGCTTTTGAACAAATGAGATGATGAATGCGGCGTGCAGCTTCCTCCCCGTGAAGCCCACTTCAAACATGCTGTTTTGATTAAGCCTTTCATGAAGACCTTCTTTTGATCCGCGAGAACTCAAGCGGGGCCCCATTCATATTGAGATGAGCGTGTCTATGGGAAGAAAAAAGATGACCATGGCTCTTCAGAGGTGCTTGTTTTCGGGGACACGACGGCCATTAGCTGACGACGTGGAAACAGGTGCACCGAGTGTTTTACAACTTACCAGTTATCGAAGGTTGGGGTCTTTAAGTACTGCCTCACTTCGTCTGATACCTCCAGGGAGCTGCAAAGGTGGACAGTTCATTAAACAGATGTTCAGACTATATGGAGGGCGGTGGTGAGTGTTTTTTGGGCGTGTGAACGTGCCTCATTTGGAGGAACTTTTCCCGCACATGCTCGCACTCCTTCCTGGTTTTATGCAGCGTTCTCTTGTGGTAGAACGGCGAGGGTTTGTGCGTTCCCTCCGACAGGTCTTTAAACAATCCCAGCCAGCTCAGATGCTCCACGCTCTGGAAAATTAAGAAGATTAATCCTCCAAAATACGCCACAAATTATCTATCATCATATTATTATTATTGACTGGAAACAAGACAAATATTCTTAAATATAATCAGATTGTTTTTGTATTGAGCAAAGAAAATTAGACAGTTTTCAAAAACACATTTTTCTGACTGCTGGCTTACATTAGTAAAATTTTTCTCCCTATATGCAGATGATTATGCTACATTTTCGCTTAATATGTCACAAGCAGCTTTAAAACCCTCGTCCGTACCTCTAGTTTCTCCCGGAACGAATCCACCTGTTTCTTCATCTCGTACACGACTGCAGGAGTCTCACTGGCCTCGAACAAGATCTTCTTCTCCAGACCCTGCAGCCTAACATCCCACCATCTTTATTCATTATACAGATTATAATATCATTAAGTAATAACCTTGTTTCGGCTCATCCTGCCTACCTTTTCTCCATGGAGGAGAGGTCAAATCCGAGTGCACCGGCAAGCTCCGCACCTGAAATTACAGCGAGAGAAGAAGACGACTGTCAGCGTTTCCTTTACGTAGAGACGAGCGCCGCAAACCCCATGTTTGCTAACTTAAAGATACCTAACGGCTCACTGTTGCAGTCGGCGGCCACAACCTCCAGCTTGTAGCAGGAGTTCGGGCTGTTGGGCTCCAGATTCGGGGAGATGTTGATGATGCTGCCTTTGGGGTTGTAGAGCTTCAGGATGTCGTGGGGTCCCGCCTCGGCCGCAGAGCGGAACAGATCTGGGAAGACGACAAAAAAATAGAAGAAACAGAAGAATGTGTGAGGAATTATTTTAGAGCAAAATCTCAACCGCTGAGGAAGACCATGGAGTGTGGGTTGAAAGCTCTGGAAAAAGCTAGTGAAAGTGACTAATTCCATTCAGTTAATTAAAGTTATATTGGTATATAATGATTAATAAATTAAATAAAAACTAAAATGTATAATGTTATGAAGTCAACTTGTATTTAATAAATGTAAAGCCAGAAGAGTTAATTTAACTCATGTTTCAACTGATTACATTGAACATTTTAAGTAAAATTAACTCAGTTTTGTAATAGTAATTAGTTATTTTAAGTAATCCTGACTTAATGTTGTATTTTTTATTTGTATTGTGAAAATAAAACACATATTAAAGTACTCAGGAATGTTTACTAGTAAAAGCTGCTTTCAAATTGAGTTTGTGTTACCTCAAATGTCCGATATCAACAGTGTTTTTGAGTTAAAATATCGTAATTTGGGTGCTTTTTAAAGCATATATTAACATATGTGATTGATTAAATCAGCATATATTTCTGCCACCCCATGAATATTTACTCTACATCCGCCCCTGAATGAAATCATAACGATCATCTGTAGATCAATACACCATTAGTATAATTAAATCAGTAATATGAGCAGATTTTGAGTTCCCAGGTTGAGACTGTCTGAGCAGAGAATGTGTATCAACAAGTTATTAAGCATATTTGAATGAAACTGGTTGTCTTATTTAATTATTTATTATTAAGAGGTAAATTAAGTTAATTGAACTTAAAACCAGTAAGCATATCACACTCATATGCAGCATTATTTAAAATGTGTTATTTATCTGAATAAAGTACTGTTTAATGGAGCTTCTTTATATAAATGTTACCACTTAACTTACTCAGTTTTCTTCCATTAAAGCAAATTATTACATTACCTGTCGAAACAGGTAATTTACAATTAATCAATTATCAAGATTTTGGGGTTTACATTTTTGTAATGACAAGTCAACTTAAAGAAAATCAGTCAATGGAACTAACTGGAACTAAATACTTAAAATACAGCACACATTTAAGTTATTAAAGAGTTATTACTGCTTCTTTTATTGATTTTATTAAGAGTTACTTCAGTTTTATTAATCAATAACTCCAAATAACAACCTGTTGCTGGAAGATCATTAAAGGTACACATGAGATCTTCAGTGAGGTTTTCTTTTGCCTTCCTCGATACTCGAAACAAAGCGTGAAGAACACGTGAAGCCGAGTGAGGAGCTGTCAGTGGCAGCTGCATCGCCGCCTGCAGCTCAGACAACCTCCAAAAGTCAATTTAATCTGCTGATGTAACAACTGATCTTAAAACAGCTGTTAACTCCATTAAAGCAGCTCAGATTTACAGTCTGTAACAGCACCTTTAACGTCCTTTCAGTCAGTGTAACATCTTGGTAAACACAGGACAATATAGAGAATGTATAGAATATATTATGTATATTATATATAGATCATATTACAGATGTTCAGTCCCTACCTTTCACATCCTGGGCCGGGCAGTCCAGGGGGAACTCGGCCCGCTCTGGTCTCCCGTTCACTGTGAAGTAGATGATTTTTGTTGCCATGTCATAAATTCAGAGCTGCTGTTGTGTGCGCTGCTGATCTGCACCTAATGTCCGTCTCACCTCATTATTTCACCGGTAAACACTCCACCCACCCACCCTTTGTTTTTATTCTCTCCACCTCCTCTCTGCTCCTCCTTCCCCCCTTTTTATATCCTCCTCTGCTGACACATTTTACATCAGGACTCATTTATTTAGCATTTGTATTTGTGTGTGTTGGATCTTCTTATGGAAGCCAAACACATTTCCAACTCCTGAAGAATAAAATCCACATTTTAATCATAATTATTATGAATTATTATCTAATAATTCTGACATAATATTGTATAGTTGTGTTGTTAATTCATACTTTTCATGTTTTTAGGTGTTTACTTGTTGGTTTATTCAGCAGGGACAGTACACAGAGGCTGTTTGTCATCTGGACAGAGATTGAAGATATAAAGTTATTAAGATCATTTATAAACATGCAGGACAGTAATAATGAAAGGAAAAGAAAAGATTTAATAAAAATAAATGAAAGTATGAATAAAGTTTGTTTTAAACACTTAAGTAAATAACTATTTTATAATATCTAATGAGATATCTCATAAAGTAATCAAGAATAAGAGGAAATACTTTCTTTATATGGACAAATTATGTCACTAACACACTAAACAACATTCAGATTAATCTTTATTGATCGTCATTGTCAGAGAAATTTATTGGGATAATTTTATGAATTTATAAGGCCTTTAGTGTACACACAATGTGGGGCTTAGCATCAATTAGCTTAGCAAGATAGATATTTGAAATCCATTCATAAATCATTAAAAGGCTACTTAAAAGTTGTCTTTGTAGGTTAAACTTTGTAGTACAACTCTGTCTTCTAATGCTGTCCCAATTAACCTGATTTATCAAATAAATATAATAAAATAAGAGACTATAAACACAAAATTCAAAGGCTATGTACATTCTCACTCACAACCTACTATTTAATTGTTAATTTAAACATATATATATATATTGATATACATATGCTTCAGATATTGTCATCCAGTTGTTTAACCTGCCCAAACCAATAAAAACATAATTTAAAAAGCCCCACCAGGCTAGTAGAAGGGACCTGCTTCTGATTGGGACCCAGTGTTTAATTAAAGTTTTATTCCTGGAGCCTTTTGTGAATGTGTTATATTTAATATAAAGGTTTTCATTTATTTATGGTGGCCACTTTGTGTATATGTATCCCACTGCATCCCACTCCTACACACCTGCCTCATGAAATAGATGTGCAGATTTTTTTTGTGTCTATTTTAAACAACGGTATGTAGTGTAAAACAAACAAACAAACAAAACACAAGGTAAACATTTAAACATTCTGTCTTTCACCATTAATAAAAATTTTATTTTTGATGTGCTCTAAAAATGTTATGTTTAATGTTGTACTGTTAGTATGGAAGCGTATTGCATTCACTTGAAATTTTATTTTTTGGTTTGTTCTTCTGAGTAATTTATTTTTATGGTTGGTTTTTCGGAGTAGTCTTTTTCTGAATTCTTGAATAATTTTTTTTTCTTCTGTTTTTCTGACTAATTTATTTCCTGAGTTTAGAGAGCATTTGAATAGACGCAATAATTCCTTTATTGAGAGCTCGATTTAACAGAAA